AAAGTGATGAAACTTCAAAATGTAGGTCTGGTAATTAATACGATATATATATCTATATATATATCCAAACATGAATTTAACAGTCTTGTACTATGCATAAAACTTAGTGTAAATCTTCTCATTAGGACCCCCACCACCTTAATTGACCTCCCTCCTCACTATGCCAACATGCCACCCATATAGTTTCATGTTTGACTGGGTATCCACTATCACAGTCATTAGTAAGATAACCAGGCATTCAGTGTCTTGCTGTCTGTTTAGCTTGCTGATCGTGCGTGCGGTTTCCTGGAAACGTGGCGTTTCCATCTACACGTCTTAACAAACATTCCAGGGAAATGTCACACGACATTAACCAGTAAAGTGAGAGTCCTGGGCCAACAGGAAGTGGGACAGCCTGTGGGTGTCTTTGGCGTGTCTTTAAGATGATCAAAGTCTGGTGGTTTTAATAGTCCTGGAGTCTCCACTGAAGGCCATTTACAGGATTCTTCTTCTTTCCTGAACTTGTATAAGCTACTTGTATTCCGGCTTTTGTGATGCCGCTGGGCCACAGGGTGTTCTCGGTAAACGGGTAAATACAGGGAATGGCATAAAAAGAGGAATCTCAGATTTTACTAGCTAAGTAATGCCTCGTGCAGACAAGGAGACACTTGGCCTGAAGCAGTTTATTAACTGCAGCTCCTTACAAGATGGAAGTTGTTTGTAGGTACGGTACACAGGCTTATTTGTCAAATATATGCTTAGGTCTAATCTCTGGATATCTAGTTGAAACTAGGGATTGAGATTAAAAAGTGTGAAACTGAAACTAAACTGAAGCTGACATTATCTGGTCTTCATTTCATTGTGGTTTCTTTCTAAATTAAAAATACCAGCAGATAACATTCATCCACACTCAAATAGAAAAACTGTTTTATAGCAATGTGGCAGTGGTGTTCGGGCTGACTTTCTTATAGAGGGAGGAAATGAGGTCCTGTGAAATGTGTCAAAAGTAATCTAGCGCTTGTCTTGAACCAGTCCTGAATGTACATGGGCACCTGGCCAGACATGTGACACTGTGTAGTCTCTGTCAAAGAAAAAAAACACACAAACTCTGAAACTGGAAACATTGTTGAGTTTTAGCCACACTAGCTGTGGAGCTTGAGAGATTGGGGACGACAGCCCATTGGTGGTGGTTGTCTCTCTCTGACACCATTGTTTTAATTACTATAAAATGTTATTTTAATAGAGTAAAAGTTAGGTTTTCGTTACCTTGAATGAGCCCTTTTTTTTTTATATCTACGGAGGCCGTTGGTCGCCTTCCATGTTTAACTGCCATGTTTCTACAGTAGCCAAGAAGGCCAAACCAAACCGAACGCTGGTGACAGCTACACTGCTAGATGCCACTTAATCTTAGACACTTGACCTTGGGCATTCACTAACCAGTAATCTTGAGGGCTGACTTGGTACTATGCCCTTGGATCTCCACAAAACGGAGCATACTTTAAGAAAAAAAACTTAAATCTTCCTCCTATTTAATTAACTTCTTCCTAAAAAAAATCTGAAAACTAAATCTGATGATACAGTAGCAACTTTAGTACAAAAATGATAGTTGTTATTGTAGCTCATGTCCTTTGCCATCACCGGTACCTGCTGGTATGTTCAATATGAATAATATATGCTGGGAGGGAGCTGATGCATCCCCAATAAAGTGGGTGGGATAAATGCGGCCTTTGAATTAGCTTGTGAGCTGAGAACACAAGTTCAGACTACTTTAGGTTGTTTTGGGTCATTCTCTTGCAGGATACTTTTTCAATTTTCCGGCCAGCTTCAGCCGTACCTTGAGCTTAATGCTGTCATATATGCTGGGTACTTTTTTTTTTACTGGAAGCATAGCACACTTCCTGTCTCCTTGCTTAGTAAGAAAGTAACTTTGTGCATACCACAGTCTGCCTGTCCTTTTGCAGCATCAAACATTTACCAGGTGTTAAATGAAAATGTTGCTGTGGAGCATGGCGAAAAAAAAAAACAATTGAAAAGAAACCACATAGCAACATGCCAAGTGGAACTCCAATCTTACCCAAAAGGTGAAAAGCTATGCACTCATACAAGCTGTCATGGTTAGGTAGTTTGTCCCTTTATCAGCTCCATGGGTGGTCTGTCACTGAATCAACAATACAGATGAGCTGAGCCTTTCTATTGTTGGAGTCACTGTAAGCCATTCTGGATCGCATTTAAATGCCTTACAGAATGTAAGATTGTGTAATAATGTGGGAGTTGTGTTTTGTCCCAGACTACACAGCGGCATGTGTTGGGAAACCTTGACTGAGACCAGTGTTTGTAAGGACTGCCTGTGTGTGTTGAGCCTGTGGGAAAAAGTGCAATGCCTCCAGGAAAAAATCCTGTTGTTTGTTGCCACAATAAGCCAATCTAAGTGTGTCGCAGTGAACACACCCTCCAACCCTTTTCTCACGATGAAACTTTACACACAGGAGCACAAAGTACTGACATGTATTTTGTTTTAACCCTTACTTAAACAATTTAACAAAAGGACACTTTCAAGGACTTTGATCTGACTGCAGTTTCCTTCTAAAACCGCAGCCCAACTGTGGACCACCAAGGAGACAAAATATGTGTAATATAGTAAAAAATAGGATTTTAAAAAA